GTGGTGATGGTGATGGTGATGGTGGTGATGATGATGATGATGGTGATGATGGTGATGATGGTGATGATGGTGATGGTGATGGTGGTGATGATGATGATCATGATGATGATGATGATGATGGTGGTGATGGTGATGGTGATGGTGGTGATGATGATGATGATGATGGTGGTGGTGATGATGGTGGTGATGATGGTGATGATGGTGGTGGTGGTGGTGATGATGATGATGATGATGATGATGATGATGATGGTGATGATGGTGATGGTGATGATGATGATGGTGGTGGTGATGGTGATGATGATGATGGTGATGATGGTGGTGGTGGTGATGATGGTGGTGATAATGGTGATGATGGTGATGATGATGATGATGGTGATGATGGTGATGATGATGATGGTGATGATGATGATGATGGTGATGATGATGATGGTGGTTGTGGTGGTTTTGGTGGTGATGATGGTGGTTGTGGTGGTGATGATGATGGTGATAATGAAGATGGCATTAGTGTATGATAATTAAAGTTAAGATTACTTTCATGTTTTCCAGTGCAAGTGTTATCAAGAAGAATCAGCTCTGTCGACCACACAGCGCCGACTCCTCACGTACTAGATGTAGAAATTAGACGAGGTGTGCTCTGTTCCACAAGATAACATGTCTGTTTAATTAATTTAAATTTAAACAACAAGAAGCCTAACGTTTCAGTATTTCTCAGGTTTAGGTGATGGTTTCTTTCCAGATTTAATCGAAGAAGCCTTGGTGTTGGATAAAGTTGATAGCGGGTAAGTGTTCACATGTTTTAGTTTAATATTTGTTACTGTAGCTGTAATAGTGTATGTCAGCACTTGTAGTGCCGTGTTCACCACGCTTGCTTTTCAAGATGAGAGACCTGCATGGGTTCAGTCCTTGTTCAGACCTCTACTCAAGGTCTTAATATAATTGACCATTTGCGTAATAGACTAAATTTTGGTCTAAACAAGTCTAGACAAAAATTTCATCACAGCTTGAAAGAGCATCACAAAATTAGTAATATTCCATGCAAAGTTTCGTTGCGAAATGTTGTAAAATGCGGATAATATAGCCTTGCGAAGTTTGCAATTTTCAGCCATTTTAGATTACAAACGGGAAATTGACAGCCCCAAAGGGTATTGGGCTGTTAATTTCACGTTGTAATGCAAAATGACTGAAAATTGCGAACTTCGCAAGGTTATATTATCCGCATTTTACAACATTTCGCAACGAAAGTTCGGAATATTACTAATTTTGTGATGCTCTTTCAAGCTGTGATGAAATTTTTGTCTAGATCAAAATTTAGTCTATTACGCAAGTGGTCAATCGAGGAGAAACTGCTCTCTTTACACTGACATCAGTAAATGGTTAGACATTCGCGTCTTCTTGGATAACGAAGCTAAGATCGTATGTACCTCGGATCCCCTATCAATTGGACATAATAGCCTGTTGAGAAATCCGCTCATAAATGAGGGGGGAAATCAATAAACTCAAACCATTGAACTATAAGTAAACTGGAAGGCTAACTGCTATGATGAAGGCTTATGATTTGCTGAAGCCAAAATAGTTTTGCTGAGTTTTGAGCAGAAATACTTGATCTCAAACGTTGGGCTATATTCAAACTCAAGCTATGCTATTCGGTGTGTAAACATTTCAAGACTTCAGCGAAAATAAAAATATTTTAAAAATACAATAAAACAACTGCCGTTCGACCAAAAAATGGCAAATTATCGGCAATTATTTTTGTAGTTTTTAAATATTTCCCTTTTAGCTAAAGTCTTGAAATTTCTAAACCAAATAGCGTTTTTCAACAGCTTCAGTTTGATATACAGCACAACGTTTGAGATCAAGTATTTCTGTTCAAAACTCAGAAAAACTAAACTGCACTGGCTTCAATCCCCCTCCCCCCCCTGTGTTAGCCTTCCAGTGTACTTATACTTCAATGTCATCTTATCTTTTAGACGTCGCCAGCCAAAGATCAACTGGCGTCGCCGAGATCGTCAGAAACAGCATTCAGAACATCTCTTACTGAATTCTGCTATGAAGCAGGTAAAAACTGTAACATTTGTACACGGCTAAAAACGCACAGGTTGTTGCAAGTTGATATCGACAGGCGTGAACAATGTTGTGCGGCCAACTATGAACAAGTTGTCAACCATGTTGTTCCAAGTTGTTACAGTCGAACAATGCTGTAACAACATGTCAACAATACTGTTCATAGTGGACCGCACAACCTTGTTCACGCCTGTTGATATCGACCTTGAACAAGTTGTTGATTTTCTCAATTTTTACGCGTCTACTGGATAGCTTTTGCAGGGCTTTCAAAATAAGCCGGCGGCCCGCCTGACGGTTACTTTGTTTATTACTTGCTCTCCTCCATTCTAAAGCCCCGGGCAAACTAGGAAACATTGTTGCGGAAACATTGTTTCCTGCCAATGTTTCGCCATGTTTCCCAGAGTGGGCAAACACTAGGAAACATTAGTGAGAAACATAGGGAAACATAAAATGTTTCTGAATTCGCTAGGAAACATCTTTGCTTCTCGGGATTCGGGAAGCAAATGTTGTTTCCGCAACAATGTTTCCAAGGGTGGGCAAACAGGGAAACATTTGAAGAAACATCGAGAATCACAAATGTTTCCACAACAATGTTTCCTAGTTTGCCCAGGGCTTGCCCAGGGGTTATTTTTCCTCAACCTGGTCTACTTTATAGCCTGGTTATTTTCCAAAACCACGTACTATTTCGTAAAACTGATTTAGTTATTTGCCATCGTAAATCTTGAAGTTATGTTGTTGAAGAATGAAGGTAGTGACACATTATAATCTGGTCATTTTAAAAAATAGCACCCCCCCTGCACCCCTTCTCGCCAGGGCTAGGGGGTGCTTACCCTCCCCCCACACACACACAAAGTAAATCCATCCCTGACATTAAGGCTCCCTAGACCACCCAACAGCCGCCTACTTTATCACCAAAGTCGCCGTCCCAGAATAATTCTGAAAGAAAGCCCTGTTCTAACTTGTCGTAATGCTACTGACGCTAAATGATGCTTTATTTTGGGGTTTTTAAAAGGACGGGAAAAAGATGCGAGATAAACTTGCTGTCACGATCAAGGTATTGCTCAAATTATTATACAAATTTCCTGAATATATTTCGTTTTTGATTTTCAGTATATTCGATCTGCCTACAATGCTGTCAGAGTAAGCTTGTGTTTTTATTTTTATTTTTATTTTTAATAGAAATATATACAAGAAAACAAGAGCACGAGACCAAAATCTCAACTTGGTGATATGAGTTTGAATTCATCAGATGCACATATTACTTTTATCCAGCAGTTGCTGACTGAATGCAAAGCAAAGGTAGGTTTCCTCTTGTAGTAACCCTGTATCAATAAGAGATGATCCTTACTGGACCTCTAGGAAGAACAGTTTAGAACTGATAGAGCTATTCAGTATAAATAAAGTTAGTTTAGTTTAGGTTTCCTCCTGTAGTAACACTGGATCAATAAGAGATGATCCTTACTGGACCTCTAGGAAGAACAGTTTAGAACTGATAGAGGTATTCAGTATAAATAAAACTAGTTTAGTTTAGGTTTCCTCCTGTAGTAACACTGGATCAATAAGAGATGAACCTTTCTGGACCTCTAGGAAGAACAGTTTAGAACTGATAGAGATATCCAGTATAAATAAAGTTAGTTTAGTTTAGGTTTCCTCCTGTAGTAACACTGGATCAATAAGAGATGATCCTTACTGGACCTCTAGGAAGAATAGTTCAGAACTGATAGAGCTATCCAGTATAAATAAAGTTAATTTAGTTTAGGTTTCCTCCTGTAGTAACAATGGATCAATAAGAGATGATCCTTACTGGACCTCTAGGCAGAACAGTTTTGAACTAATAGAGCTATCCAGTATAAATAAAGTTAGTTTAGTTTAGGTTTCCTCCTGTAGTAACACTGGATCAATAACAGACGATCCTTACTGGACCTCTAGGAAGAACAGTTTAGAACTGATAGAACTATCCAGTATAAATAAAGTATAACTATAATGCTCACTCGACTTCTCGCTACTTAGACAAAGAGAATGTTGGTGTTAAAGATGGGTCAAGAGGCGAAAGATCTTGGACATAATGATGTTAAAGGCGTGGAGGAGAACTCATTGATCGCAAGTTTATGCGATCTTTTAGACAGAATCTGGGGGCATGGATTGAACATACGAAAGGTGAATAAAACCTAAGGTTTAATTGTTAATAACCTGCCGTGGTTTACCTAAATCAGGTGTCTCGAACGAACGAACGAACGAAGGAAGGTTAGTTGTGTCTATTAACTTCTAAATGTTTTAGGCCAAGTGTCCACTGTGGTTTCATTTGTTGTCGTACTATGATAGCTGTGATGGAGACACTATGGAACTTACTGAAGACAGCTTTAGTTCACCATGTGAGTTTGAGTTCTTATCATAGGCTGGCTAGGCTAAACTAACAGTAGCTATTTATACTGGATAGTCCTATAGTTCTTCCTTGAGGTCCTGATCAGTTCTTATTGTCCCAGTGTTACTTCAGGAAGAAACCTAAATTAAACTAACTTTATTTATATACTGGATAGCTCTATCAGTCCTAAACTGTTCTTCCTAGAGGTCCAGTAAGAATCATCTCTTATTGATCCAGTGTTACTACAGGAGGAAACCTAAACTAAACTAACTTTATTTATACTGGATAGTTCTATCAGTTCTAAAATGTTCTTCCTAGAGGTCCAGTAAGAATCATCTCCTATTGATCCAGTATTACTACAGGAGAAAACCTAAACTAAACTAACTTTATTTATACTGGATAGTTCTATCAGTTCTAAAATGTTCTTCCTAGAGATCCAGTAAGAATCATCTCCTATTGATCCAGTATTACTACAGGAGGAAACCTAAACTAAACTAACTTTATTTATACTGGATAGCTCTATCAGTCCTAAACTGTTCTTCCTAGAGGTCCAGTAAGAATCATCTCTTATTGATCCAGTGTTACTACAGGAGGAAACCTAAACTAAACTAACTTTATTTATACTGGATAGCTCTATCAGTTTTAAACTGTTCTCCCTAGAGGTCCAGTAAGAGTCCTCTCTTATTGATCCAGTGTTACTACAGGAGGAAACCTAAACTAAACTAACTTTGTTCATACTGGATAGCTCTATGAGTTCTAAACTGTTCTTCCTAGAGGTCAAGTGAGAATAATCCTTTATGATTCGCATTATGTATTCTTCAGGTCAAAGAAGTGCTGAATCGTCTCCTGTAATGCCACGAAGACCGCATATGCGTCGCAGTACCTCCCCGGAACCAACTCGGATACGTACGGAAAGTCCCGCTGGTCGCCGGGTTTCTATGGGAACAAAGGCTCTAATGGCTGACGTAAGGTAAGATGCATTTCCTTTATCTAAATTTTGTTTCCCTATTTTTTATGTCATGTTTGCGTAGTTTAAAATTCACTATATGAAAACTAATAATCTTTTAATCCGAATAACCAAAAATAACAAACTCGTATTATTATTCTAATTTAATTCCAAATAAATTAAATCTAATTCTAATTTAAATCTAACATAATTTAATTATCCACTAAACGTTCTTCTATTAACTAGTTGGAACTAAAAAAATAATGAAACAAGACTAAATAATTAAGTAACGTTTTATTAACACTAATAAGAAATTGTAACAATGGGCGCATCTACCGTGGGGGGGGGGGGGTATGCGCACCCCACCTAGTGGTGTCTACTACTCTCCTAGAGAAGTCCAACACCACCCTAAGAAAATCTGCTTGACCATACATTTTCTGCTCTTCGAATAGCGATTAGCGGAACTTCTACTATTGATTTGTGAGCTCACGAGAAAATACTCAGAATGCTTTAGTAAAATATCATGGTTAAATATGTAAACATGTCGAGGTTGTTATACAGCCATATTTTCAAATATACTGTACTTTAACAAGCAATTTTACTGTACTGTGTTACAGCAACTGTCCAGTCACGCATATGTGATAAAAAGCCGATATAAATTTTATAAACAAAAGATAATGTAATGTATGTTGGGATAGTAACGTTGCAGACTGCAGAGGAGAGTGGGCAGTAAGGCTCCCTCATGCACCACCCCATGGAAAACCTGCACCCCTCCTTGCAGACGAAGCTAGATCTACCTCTGATAAAAGCAAACAAGTACACACTGTAGTAGAAGCCCAGTCGCAGAGATGGATGAAACATAAGCGCTACATTAAGCATCCTAAGTTCTCTAATGTATTTTTAGTCGTCAAAGGAGTTTTTCTCCAAATCCAATAAACCGCGTTCAGCGATGTGAAAGACATCGTCGAAGCACTTCGCCTTCTCTACCAGTTTTTAAGTTGTCAGAGTTAAACACGCAGACAAGCTCTTTTGGTATTCCTGAAATAAACATTACTCCACCTGTAATTGATGTCCAGAAAGCTCGCTTGCTAATCGCTATCAGGTATCTTAAAATTTAAAATAATTAAATTGATTAAAGATTAAATCAGTATCGTTAAATTCATCGACATATATCATTAAATAAACTAAATAATTTGAATATATCTTGATATCATTTTGTCTATTTTTGCAATTAACAAATTTGATAGATCTGTTACTAAATAAATAAACTGATAATTTTGTTTTAACTTATATAAATTAACAAGTAAAATCGTAATTGTTAAAAGTCAATAAAAACTATATTAATCGCAATTTTTAAATATATTTTCCCAACTTATTAATAATTCATAAGGCAAATACATTGTGAAGCATTGTATATTGGTATATTTATATCCATCATTAGCTTAACGTAATATCATCATTGTTTTGTACAGAAGCGTGAAAAACCTATCTGAAATCAAGACAGACACTGGTTGTCTGCGAGCATTTGTAAGGTATATATATCTTCATGAATAGATGATTCGAGGCTATCGACTAATTTTTTATCGAGACAAGAAAGACGAAATTTATCATTAGTGTCTTTTAATAGTTCAACATAAAGCCTCCTCCATTATTTGTTATTGAATATTTTAGGCTCGCGCTTGAAAAGAAAGCGTTGTCCAAACATTTGAAAACGTTATTGAATGATAAAGATATTTTAAGGTTAGTATTGTTTATCGTATACAGTGTACATGGTATAGAATACTGGTGGTACATTGGTTATAATGCATGCGCCTGTCATATGATTCAATTTAAATTCCTGCCATAGACAACATGGTCTGATTATAATTTCAACTCAATCACATGCAAGAAGAGTGCTTCCAGTTTGACTCTACCAAATACACCCTTTTCATAAATGGCTGCCGATTAAAAATTCTTTTATGTGCATATAAATTGGCCCAACTAGCCTCGTACTCATGTTAAGATTTCAAAGGAATTTCTACCCAGAAACGAGGCTAGTTGGGCCAATTTATATGCACATAAAATAATTTTTAATCGGCAGCCATTTATGAAAAGGGTGTATACCTTAAGTTTTCTTCGGGTAGTCCGCTTGCTCCTGTAATTAACATTTGTCCAATGCTCCTTTAATACTGGAATTCCAGGGCGAACAGTTTAGCACTGATGTCCTTTACTATAGACCTCTGGGGAGAACTGTTCTGAACTAGACAAATGAAAGTTGACCTTACTGGAACTCTAGGAAGAACAATTTAGAACTGATAGATCTATCCAGTATAAATAAAGTTAGTTTAGTTTAGGTTTCCTCATGTAGTAACGCTGGATCAATAAGAGATGATCCTTACTGGAACTCTAGGAAGAACAGTTTAGAACAGATAGAGCTATCCAGTATATGAATAAAGTTAGTTTAGTTTAGGTTTCCTCCTGTAGTAATACTGGATCAATAAGAGATGATCCTTACTGGACCTCTAGGAAGAACAGTTTAGAAATGATAGAGCTATCCAGTATAAATAAAGTTAGTTTGGTTTAGGTTTCCTCCTGTAGTAACACTGGATCAATAAGAGATGATCCTTACTGGACCTCTAGGAAGAACAGTTTAGAACTGATAGAGCTATTCAGTATAAATAAAGTTAGTTTAGTTTAGGTTTCCTCCTGTAGTAACACTGGATCAATAAGAGATGATCCTTACTGGACCTCTAGGAAGAATAGTTTAGAACTGATAGATCTATCCAGTATAAATAAAGTTTAGTTTAGTTTAGGTTTCCTCCTGTAGTAGACACTGGATCAATAAGAGATGATCCTTACTGGATCTCTAGGAAGAACAGTTTAGAACTGATAGAGCTATCCAGTATAAATAAAGTCAGTTTAGTTAAGTTTTTCTCCTGTAGTAACACTGGATCGATAAGAGATGATCCTTACTGGATCTCCAGGAAGAACAGTTTAGAACTGATAGAACTATCCAGTATAAATAAAGTTAGTCTATATTTTAATAGACATTAAACTTACTTTGTTTTGTTTCTTTTGCAGGAAGTACTACAAGAATTATGCGTTTGTCCGTACCGAAGAAGAAAGAGAACAATTCTTGTATTATTTGTTATCATTGAACGCGGTTGATTATTTCTGCTTCACAAACTGTTTTACAACGCTGGGTAAGATTATTTAAACAATAAAGTACTATAGTATAAGCGAACTTTATTTCTCTGCTAGATACCTCTGACGCTGTGAGAATATGACCATCTGTTTATATGTACAATACATAATAAGGTTATTACAAGCTGTTAACAGCTTGTTCCAAACTTGTTGACAACTTGGGACAAGCAGTGCGAACATAACTTGTTGATGGCTTGTTGGCAGACTTGCTACAAGATGTGAGATTTTTGCATGTGTATACACAAGTTTGCAACAGGCTTGTAACGAGCTTGTCAACAAGTTGTGACAATGCTGTTATTTTATCGAGTTGCTACAAGGTTGTCACTCACAACTTGTGGACAAATTGTTGAATTGTAGAACGATAACAAGTTGTTGGAACAACTTGTAACAAGTCTGTCGAGATCAACAACCTTGTAACAAGTTTGTTGAGCTCAACAACCTTGTAACAAGTTGTCAACAAGCTGGGAACAAGCAGTGCGAACACATCCTGTTGACAAGTTGTTGGAACAACATTACTACAAGTCTGCTGCAGGTTTGTTACAACTTGTGCGTTTTTACGTGCGTATAACATCTGCCGTGTTTGTTAGAGTCAAACTGAGAGGCGAACGACGCATGCGCTAATCATTGTTTGCGCCTAATATTTTCAACTTCCTCTTTGCATTGCTTCTGTGTTTCAGCGATCACGTATAAGGTTGTCATAGTAACAGGGAAGCAGTTGGGAGGCAGCACGACGACAGCTAACGTTTGGATGATACTGGCGGGAGAGATTAAAGACACTGGGATTATTGATGTGCCCAAGGGCGACTGTGAATTTCGCTTTCAAGTAAGCTCTAAACTAACTTTATTTATACTGGGTAGTTCTATCAGTTCTAAACTGTTCTTCCTAGAGGTCCAGTAAGGATCATCTCTTATTGATCCAGTGTTACTACAGGAGGAAACCTAAACTAAACTAACTTTATTTATCTGGGTAGCTCTATCAGTTCTAAACTGTTCTTCCTAGAGGTCCAGTCAGGATCAGCTCTTATTGATTCAGTGTTACTACAGGAGGAAACCTAAACTAAACTAACTTTATTTATACTGGATAGCTCTATCAGTTCTAAACTGTTCTTCCTAGAGGTCCAGTAAGGATCATCTCTTATCGATCCAGTATTACTGCAGGAGGAAACTTAAACTAAACTAACTTTATTTATACATGATAGCTCTATCAGTTCTATCAGTTACACTGATTTTATTTTAGCACCCGAATGTAGGAAAATTGACGACATTGCGGATAGGACATGATAGTTCTGGCTACGCCCCAGGATGGTTTGTTGAACAAGTTTTGGTTAGAAATGAAATCACTGGACACTTATATCGGTAATATATGCGTTGCTTTTCCCTTACTTTATTTCGTTTTGCTGAAATGCGTTTGCTCGGCTGGAAGTAAACATCACCCTAGAATATCGTGGTTAACTCTTGGTAATGCTGCACTGGAATCCTTGCAGTACATTTCAATGTCTTGCTTGAGTTTGTCACTTGAAATTCTCGAAGACTGTATTACGTATTTTAAGTTTACGTACAGTTAAAACGCTTTGTAGATTCCCATGTGGTCGATGGTTAGCGAAAAGCAATGATGATGGTAGCACAGAGCGATTGCTCGTGGCTGAACTACAGGAGAAACAAACGAATAATAACGAAGGTTTGCGAATAATCTTTTTGCAATGTTGACCAAGCTTGTGTTGTATCATGAAAGCAGTCTATATAGTTACCAAAGGAACTTATATTTATTTTTTTTAAGAGTCTGGAAATTCGACGTCATCTTCGCCTCAAAGACGATCTCCTGTCATGCCTAGGAAAACTCCAGAAAGTGAGATTAAACGCTACCACCTTAAAAAAATCTGCTTGACCATACATTTTCTGCTTTTCGAATAGCGATTAGCGGAACTTCTACTGTTAGCGCGTGTCGATTTCTTGAAACGATTTAATTGATTTGTGAGCTCACGAGAAAATACTCAGAATGCTTTAGTTAAATATCATGGTTGAATATGTAAACATGTCGAGGTTGTTATACAGCCATATGTTCAAATATACTGTACTTTAACAAGCAAATTTACTGTACTGTGCTACAGAAACTGTCCAGTCACGCATACGTGATAAAAAGCAGATATAAACTTTATAAACAAAAGATAATGTAAAACGTAACAGAACGGCGAACATGCAGATTCGGCCATCTCAAATAATGGTAATGTTGGGATAGTAGCGTTGCAGACTGCAGAGGAGAGTGGGCAGTAAGGCTCCCTCATGCGCCACCCCATGGAAAACCTGCACCCCTCCTTGCAGATGAGGCTAGATCCGCTCTTGACTTAATCTAATGCGTTAGTCTAATATACCGAATGCTTTTAGTTACAAATGTGTTTTTTGAAATATTTAGAAAGCACAATTCCTGTCGTTCAAGAAAATGTCGCTAATGCTGTCAACAACATCGTGAAATATTTTTGCAGACCTGAATCTTCAGGCGAGGTAAGGCGAAGGTTTTCGCGTAGAGTTCATGAGATTGTATAGTTTTGTTGCATGTATGAGATATATTTCCAAGACCGGTTGCTCGAAAATCTGTCAGCTGAAGGTGGTTCCCTACAGTTGTGAAGAAAGAGCAGCGAAAAATAAGGTCTTCGCAAAAAATGTTTGCTATTTATTTATTTTGCCATTAGACACCAAACTTTTTTTGGTTAATGTACCAAGTATATGCTAGTGTCCAAGTTACAGTAGCATTAGGAGCAATGCAAACAATATATTAAAAAAAAAATTTTCAGATGAACATTACAACTGATTCAAAACAAAAATTATTGACGTATGTGATGTCATGCGATGACTTAGTTATAGTTGAGCTATTTTCTAGCTTTATTTCAAAATGTTTCCGCCTTAGAGACGCCTTAAACTTGGGGATACCCCTTAATTACTATAATATATATATTCTTTTGTCTATAGGCTACTACATATATTATATATGCTTGTGATGTTACTCTGAGTGTATGTCCACACCAGGCAAGCTTGAAAAATATGCCTGACCACGGTGGGAATCGAACCTACGACCTTTGGAATACTAGCCCAATGCTCTTCCAACTGAGCTACGCGGTCAGGTCGGTTCGAGTATGTGATATTTCGGAACTGAGTCTAGTTCTTTCGATATCGATGTAATCTAGTAATCATGATTTTTGTGTTGGTGTAATGTACTCAGGTGAATATGATGTTTGTGTTGTTACTCTGAGTGTATATCCACACCGGGCAAGCTTGAAAAATATGCCTGGCCACGGTGGGTATTTTTCAAGCTTGCCCGGTGTGGACATACACTCAGTGAGAGTAACAACACAAGCACCATATTCACCTGAGTACATTACACCAACACAAAAATCATATTATATATACTTTTAAGAAACTTTAATATGAACTACACAGTAGGCATAACATTTGTTCTTGTTATGATAAGATAGACAGTGCTCTTAACAGCACTTCTACTTAATACTTTAGCAATGCCTGTACAGCTCATGCCAATAAAGTTGTTAATAATAATGCTACTTCTGCTGAACTAAAATAGTTTCATTCTATTTTTTCCATAATGAAATAAGCTATCAAAAATACATGATTTTTCCTATCGAGCCACCTAATAACCTACCTTAAAACCTAGCTAAAAACTACCTTAAAAAAGCCTACCTTAAAACTCTCGGTTGCCAACTCTTATCGAATATTTTCATCCTAAATATAAAACATCTCTTTCTTTTTACAGAGAGGTTACTTGACCTACTTGCTTTGTGGGGAAAATGGTCTCTGTGATTCACTAGATCAGGTATGCCTGGACTATATTAATGCTTCCAACTCGTGTATTTCCATTGATATTTTACGTACAAAGCTAGCAGACTGCGCCAATATAGGAGAAATTACGTATTTTATTTGTATATTGTTTTGATAGGTCTTTCAATGTGGTTTCAAGTCCTCACGACTTTTTCAAAAGAACTTTTTTATCTGGGATTTTATTGGTAAATGTTTCTTGTTTGTATGCCCGATAAGGAGAAATGTTTCTCTTAGTAAATTCTGCTGATCCAACGATTAAAAAGACAAAAAAATTTACCCAACTTCAACTATCAATTGAAAAATAAATACCCACCCCTGGCCAAAAACTTTACAAAAGAATACCATTCAGTTGTCACACATGTCCTTTACCACTTCTGTGACACGAGTTTGATAACTGCTTGTGCAATTTTCTGCAGTCTAAAGTTTCATGTTGTCTGCACATGTACTTTCTTTGGAGACACCATTTGCCTCCTCTGGTTGATTGATTAAAATTGTATTGACATATGACTGTTGACATTGCTTTTTAGTCTTCAATATTTGAGTGAGTCATGCTTTGGAAATGACAATAAATTTTTATTACCCAACCCTTGAGTTGTTTTGTTTTTCATTTACCCAACCTTTTACTCACTCAAAATTTTGTTAACCCAACCCTTTTCTCTTCGATAATGAGTAAATCCCACATTCACGAATATATATCAGCACATACACAACTCATTTGAATAAGGTCTCTCGCGCGTGTTCTTTACTAAAATAAATACTTAAATTATTATAGAAAAAGTGTATTTGTATCTTAATTCGGAAGAGGGATCGTTCATTCTCACAGACCAGCGTCGGGCTAAATTATCATTTTGTTCTGTCGTTCAAAAGATCAATGACGCTTCACAAACGGTCGGTAAAGATGGCAAGGTATATCTACTTTTGATAAGATCTACAGTATTTTAAGTCCTGCGCGGATAACACTAACATCTTAACGTTATGTAATATTTAAACCTCCAATTTAAATCCACAATTGCATTATTCCTTGCGAGATTCCGTTTTGTCCAAGATTGTAGCTTAGTTATTTTTATATTCTTTGTAAATTTGCTAGAAACTTATTTTTATATTTACTTCATATTTTAGTTCCAAACTTTCATATGTCTTGGTGCGAGGTGAGTTTGGAGAACGTCTATCGAGACTTGTGAAGGATAGAGCCTGAGGAAGTTTAGGTTTCCTCCTGTAGTAACACTGGATCAATAAGAGATGATCCTTACTGGACCTCTAGGAAGAACAGTTTAGAATTGATAGAGCTATCCAGTATAAATAAAGTTAGTTTAGTTTAGGTTTCCTCATGTAGTAACACTGGATCAATAAGAGATGATCCTTACTGGACCTCTAGGAAGAACAGTTTAGAATTGATAGAGCTATCCAGTATAAATAAAG